AATGGAAAGCTCAGGATTTCAGGGGTCTAAATCAGGAATTATAAAGGCAAAACAGACTGTATGTCCCAGTGCAACTTTCCCCCCACAAATTACGTATATGAATTTTCCCCTATATACAATCTCATCATTACACTGAGCTGCACATTTCTTACAGGTAATAGATTGCAAGGTGAAGGGAAATGGGAGTAAGTGAAGATAATTTATCCATATTATTTGCAGAGAAGTTTTTGAATATTGCCACTAGCCACATCTGGTGTATTATGCCTGCCTCCTGTTCTCCCTACCTGCTTGTGTGATTGCATGTTACACACTGATTTCAGATTAGGCTCACTCTCCTTTCTCCTCATTTCTGTGTTCTTTTAGAAAATAGGTCTTTAGCTCATTCAACTATGCAATATGCATATTTCTAAAACAAAAAATAAGGTCAACCAAGGTCACCGATTACTAATGGAGCCTATTCTAAAATTATATAGCCCAGATGTGGTTTTTTTTTTCTTTTTTAATCAAATGTAGGACAAGAGTAAAGAGTACTTGAATTGACACATTAATATAGGAGGCAGACTATGTGAAGAAGGAATTAGAGTTATAATCAAAGCCTGCTGCATAAGAGCAGACTGCTGAAGCTGTATTCAGTGGAGTATGATTTGAGCCCTGTATCCACATTTTGATTTCTCCATGCTTTGTTACTGAAGGCTTGTATTGTATTTCTATACACAGAGATACACAAACTGTAAGGGAGAGATCACAGTTACTGTTGGCAAGGAAACAAGTTACTGAGTGTTGAAACCCACATTGTAAGTTAAAATTATGTTATGGTTTGAGACAATTCATACTTCTAATTGTCAATGAGTTTTTATTTGTATATACTTAGAGCAGGAAATCATTAATTATGCTAATATATTTGAGGAAAACTTACTTATACCATTAGTGTTGAACTCAAGGAAGGATATAAGAAACAAATTGCTGAAGAATGGGTGACCATTCCCGTACAAAATTAAGCATATAAAATTGCACTAACTTGTCTCCCATAACCTTCAGTAATTTTTGAGGAATCAAGGCACTAATTCCAGCATTTTTATTGGTTTCCATGAAATTGCTGCTATAGAATGCACATGAATTATCTGCCTTCCCACATTTGCTGTCCAGAAAGAAAACAACTGTCATTCCCTTTCCTCCTACTGTACATGTCATACTCACATGCACCCTTCCTCGTACCCCTCTATTGAGGTCCCTCAAGTTTTGTGCCACTGTTGCAACTAATGCAATACCTCTATTTCACCTTATATTTTAGGATAAGCCAAGATAAGGGCCTGGAAACATCCACTGGACCAAGGTTGTACAGACTTAGCAGCAAAACTGGAAGAAAAAGAAAAAGTTAACTACTTATGTCTCTTCTGAGGGCTTCAAAAGGCCAGGACAGCCTTTGTGTACCACACATCACTAGGGTAGTGGCACCATTTTCCTACCAAATACTGTGTTACCACAACAAAGTCCAATTACATGGATTGCATTAAACAAATGTCCTTGTTCCTAGATAGAAAGATCTGAATCTAAATCAAAGTGTAGTGCTTTATCAGTTCTTTCTGAAGTAACATTTTTTGTTTTCTTCCATATGTCAATTAAAGAGATTAAGTTGGGGTTACTGAATATGTTACCAGTTTATGTGAAAGCATTAAACGTGAAAATATGAAGTGTTGGCACTTCAAGTGAGAAGAGGAACAAGGCAGCATCTTAAGTTTTCCAAATATAAATCAGTTCATCACCTATATCTAACTAAGACATTATAACTGAAAAAATATAATTCATTTCCCATTCTGTTCTCATGGTAATGCTAATGGTATAGTCTAGGAATGTATCATCTCTGCTTGAACCACTTTTGGAGTTCCGTGCATGCTGTATAATGAGAATAAAGTGCCATGCTATATTTTGAAAATGGCATTTATGGTCTATTTATGGCTTCACAGTTCAAGGTCATTTACAGGGATCATTATATCCACTTATTCTGCCAATTCTTTCAATAGTTTGACATAGTAACTAACAAGGTTTTTGAAGTATTAAAGCACAATTTACCTTAGTGTAAAATAGATGCTCAGTTAGATACATTGTTGAATTTCAAACTAGAAAAAGCATGATATTTTTGCATCAATATGTATGATTTATAGACTCATAGAAACACAGAATATACTGAGTTGGAAGTTAGCCATTAGGATCATTGAGTCCAATGCTTAGCTCTGCACAGGACACCCCAAAAGTCACACCATGTGCCTAAGAGTGTCATCCAAATGCTACTTGAAGTCTGTCAGGCTTGGGGCTGTGACCACTTCCCTGAGAAGTCTCTTGCAATCCTCAACCACCTGCTGGCTGAAAAACCTTTTCCTGGTATCTAACCTAAACCTCCCCTGACTCAGTTCATGCCGTTTACTTGAATCCTCTCACTGGCGACAAGTGAAGAGGTCAGTGCCTGCCCCTCCTATTCCCCTTGTGAGAATATTGAAGACCATGGTGAAATCTCCCTTCAGTTTCCTCTTCTCCAGGCTGAACAAACCAATCGACCTCAGCTGCTCCTCATACAGCTTCCAGTCCAGACCCTTCACCATCCTCGTGGCCGTTCTTTGGATGCTTTCTAATAGTTTAATGGGGTTTTTTTGTATTGTGGTGATCAAAACTGCACACAAAACTCAAGGTGAGGCAGTCCCAGTGCAGAGCAGAGTGGGACAATCCCCTCACTTTACTGGCTGGTGATGCTTTGCCTGATGCCTCCCAGGACACAGTTGGCCCTCCTGGCTGCCAGGGCACTGCTGACTCATATTCAACTTGCCATTGACCAGAATCCCCAGGTCCCTTTCCACAGTGCTGCTCTTCAGCCTTTTGTTTTCTAGCTTATACACACAACCGAGGTTGCCCCATCCCAGGTGTAGAATCTGGTTGCCCATGTTGAACTTCATACAATTGCCCATCTCTCTGATTTGTCAAGATCTCTCTGCAGGGCCTCTCTGCCCTCAAGGGAGTTGACAGCTCCTCACAATTAAGTGTTATTGGCAAACTTACAAAATATTCTTTCAAGCCCTGTGTCCAAGTTGTAAATGAAGATGTTGAAGAGAACTGGGCCACTGATGGAGCTCTGTGGAACCCCATTAGTGACAGATGACCAGTGTGGCGTTACCCCATTCACTGTTACCCTCTGTGCCTGACCCATGAGCCAATTGCTCATCCTCCACATGATGTGCTTATCCATCTGTACTGGATATTTTGTCCAGAAGGATACTATGAGAGATCATATCAACAGCTTTGCTGAAGTCCAAAAAGATTACAACAACTGGTTTCCCTTGATCAGCTAGGTGGGTTACCTTGTCATTAACGGAAATCGGGTTGGATAAGCAGGACTTCCCCCCTGTGAAGCAGTACTGGCTATGACCAGTGACTGTGTTGCCCTGCAGGTGTTTTTCAATACCTTCCAGAATAATATTTTCCATGATTTTACTTTCCACTGAAGCGAGACTGATAGGGCTGTAGTTCCTGTGGTCCTCCTTCTTGCCCTTCTCAAAAATTAAGATGTTAACCAGTTATATTATAAAACACAAGAGTATATAATTAACTTTGAATTTTAAGCATTTATTTGTAAAGGGATTCATGCACTTCTGGAATAATTATTAAATTCTGTATGAAAGGTGGTTCTTCTAACTTTATGTTTTTATGCAAAACAAATGCTCCTTATAATTTTGTTGTTGTTGTTGTTGAAAAGAGCACATTTTTAAAATAATGAACTAGAAAAAGATACTTAGGAAAAACCTATTAAATCCTAATACGTATCAGAAGATGGGTCTAAATCTCTTGGACATTTTTCAGCCAGCAATACGTCAAACACTGGTTATGTTATGAGCTTTATTTCACCTGAATAGCAGGAATATTCTTACTGATTTAACTTCATTTACTATGCAAAGCCATTGGCAAATTTAAAGAATAGATTTATTAGAGAGTTTTCCTGATCCCTCTAGGGACAAATTTTCCCTTTCTTCTCAGAAAGGTGTGCAGAGCCTTCCTACTACAAGTATTAACCTCTTAGCATCTACAGTAATGATACATTTTCCTACTTCTCTCCTAATGAAAATATTTCAGGTATTGAGTACTTACTTTAATTATTGCTTCTTAGTACTAACAAATCTTTGTATAAGTGGAGCTAATAACACTGAATTATCAGTACTAATATACTCTAACAGTGAAACTATATGGCATCAGGTACTGTGCAATGCTGTGAATTTTATTATTTTTAACTGCATATGTCTACAAGAAAACCCTTATTTGCCAATAGTGGTCAATAGGTCAATAGGTCAATAGGTCAGTGATCAATAGAAACAAGAGATGAACCCAGTTCTTTAAAGATATACATGTTGTTTACTAAGTATTAGCAAGTAAGACACATGAAGACCAAGTATTTGTATTTGAAAGTACATACAGGCACTAGCTACACTTTGGTTACCACCTCTCCTCCAAAGTCAGGCAGAGAAGTGCTGTACTGTTAAGTCATTCTACCTTCTGATATGTTCACAATGGGAGCTTAGAAAACCTCAGTTTAAGTTGGGGTGGTTCCTTGCTGCACTTTTCAGAGGTACTTTACACTCTAATGACGATGATATTCATCCTAGTCAGGTTCTAAGGGACTTCAAAGCACTGACCATCATCCATTTCAAAAGGAAATGCTTGGCTCTCTCAGAAGTACTTATAATTTTTGTCTGACCATGTTCATCCCAGAATCCCAGTGCTTTATAAACACTACTGAACATAGCACAGGTATAGACAAATGAACCAAGTCCGTCACAAAGGTGTTCTCTTATGAAAGGCCAAAAGGTCTTCTATTCTAGCCGGAAGACCAGAGTTCTGATGATTGCTACAGGTAATTTTTTAAATTACAATAGCTAATAACAAATGACAAGTCCTTTATTTCTTCTGCAATGTCAGCTACCAAAACTAGTCTCTGTTCTATTGCATTTCTCTTTCAGCAGGTTTCAAAATTGGGATCCAGAGCCACATGTTCCACATTCCAATGGGAAGAGAAGCATTTCCAAGCCTATCATGCTCGGAAGCCATGGGTGAAAGGACGGGTGCCTGAACAGGCTGAGGAAAAGAGGCTCTTGGTGGGTCTCCAGTCTTAAATGACAGCATGGGATTTTGTGTTATTGGTGAGAAATCAGGCAGCTGGAAGCCAAGATGTTTAATAGAATAGGTAAAGTATATTCCAGCCCTTGAGGTACTCTTTGATTTCTCCTTTCTTCAAACAATTTTCCTGACCTTCTTGAAGCTTCCTTCTGCTCTGCTGTTTGGCTCACTCTGCTCTCACCACACTCCTCAGCTCACACCAGTTGCTCTATTTGGGAAAGATAATTTCATTTTATATTGGTAGAGCAAGGCAAGGCAATGTGACAGACAGAAAGCCACAGAAACTTTTGCTGGGCATGGTTTTGTGGAGACCTTTGCATCCCAATATTCGTATGCACACACTGTTTTCCTCTTTCCTCTCAACCAACCCCAAATCAGAAGAAGAAAATATTTCTGAAAAAAAAAGTATTGTGCAACTCTATAAATTAATTTCAAGCCAAATCTGTTTGGGTCCCCAAAGTATAGGCAACAACACTGGCAACTATTGTAATAGGATCTGCAGCGAGCAGTTCAAGGGAGTCAAGGTGGTTGACAGCTCTCTCTGGGCTAATAACCACTGAAGCTGAGCCATTTTTTTCTCCTGCTGCAGTACCCCTACAGGAGCTTAAAAGAGCAACACAAACTTCTGCTTTTTCTCCACTTTGAAAATACCTACATTATTACCTGTTTAGAGACCTCCAGGGCACTTCTGTGCTTTCTAACCAGATTTTGGTGGTATATCAACATCTGCACAATGAGGCATATGTCACCCTTGCAACAGACTTTCCCTGCCTTTCTATTCCTTTTAAGTCATCACATAATTAAAAAAAGAAATACAAGTAAGATATGATATTGGAAAAAAGCAAAAGTACTTTGTTTAGACTCAAGAACAGTTCCCAAGACCTGAGGAGCATTTCTGAAATTGCAGAGGGAACTTTTCTTTGTTCCAAAATCTAGGTTTTCACACATTCCCTGACTGATTCATGGAATAGTCAGTAAGCTGATGGAATAGCCCTCATGGATTTAAAAGGATTATACCAATTAAATTAGCTTCAACACTGGCAACACATTAAAATCACCAAAATCATTCCACACTTCAGAAGTCATAAAGTTATTTAAGCCTAAACCAGATTGTATATTCTGTCATAGTATATTAAGAAACAACTGACTCCTTTTTTTAATTTACAATAAGCTCTGGGCTGAAAATCTATTCTTTGCCCACATGGTTTCTCTATACTTTTTCCCCTCAACTTTTCTTGCCCCCTCATTTTTTACCTTACTCAAAGGAAATCTTGTTCTGTACAAATTTGGCAGACCTAAACCCACAAGAACATTATACAAAGAGCTCAGAGATAATAAATTATAGCCAAATGGGCTAAGGTAGACATTTGAATAGGTAAAATAGGTCTGAAGCCAAGGCTTTCTTCAAGTTTCAGCAAATAGAACACGAAACAATGGAAAGTTCAGAAGTTCACCAGAGGTCACTGACGAAGAGGAGTAAAATTGAGACTCTCTGATGAAGTAAGACCGGATGTAACCCCAGACCATTCCCCTAAATGAAGACCACACCTCAAAACCCTTCTCTCAGCAGCATGTATTTTCCTTAATGCAAAGAGTCTCCTCAAGAAGCAATGCACCGATGTCTTCAGTGGAATTTGGTGCTCAGTGTATGCAGTATTTAGATGTGCTGTGAATATCAAGTCATCCATAAGTGTGCTCATTCCAACAGTGCAAATCAGCAACATTCTGAACAGATTTTTCGTCACAGAAAAAATTTTTTAGTTCATCTTCCATGAACTCTAGTACTGTTTTACTATCACAGTAATACAAATCTGTCCACCTAAACTTATGGGAACATGTTCTTCATTCTATCACAAGCCAGACTAACCTTAAAAGTTAGGATTTTTTCATTATTTACTTCACCACAGCTGCGCTCCAACTCCATTAGTGCTTTAAGTACAGTCGGCCAGCCAGCTGTGCAACTGCTCTGTCAGCAACACAGAATCTTTTAAACTCAAAACAATAAAACGTTTAAAGATGTGTCAAATTCTTCAGTGGTAAACAGAATACTGAATGGGAGCAACGTTTGCTGGTTAATGATGGGAGAGAGATATCATTTCCTACCCATGAAAACAGATGAATCTTTTTAGGACTTGCATTGTCATACTACCGCATCCTAATTTGCAGCACACAGCACTGCATGAAGAAAGATTCACATAAAAAAAGGCATAACATAACTGGGCTGAATTCCACAGGCCTTTGTCAGGCAAAAGCGATCACTCAGTTAAAGAGCACAGAATTTGGCACACAGACCTTTGTCTCATATAGAATGATGTATGGTTTTCTAAACTATGAAAATTTAAAACTAACCAATTTCATCTTCCCATTTTATGAACAAGTGGAAGTATGAATGTTTATATTCCTTCTATAATTCCCACTTCTAATGCAACTGTAAATATTGTGAAGAGACATATTGAAGTTTAAGACTGTGGGCTCCTGTTTACAATCTGTCTGCAATAATATCTTGGGGAAATGCCTGATACAGGTTAATTATTTAACCTTTGCAAAAAAATCATGTGTATTTTTTATTTAGCTTCAAATGATTGAATGTTCTCTTGCTGTGAGCATCTAGGAACTGTGAACATGAAGAACTAAAAGAGAGCCCATGAAATCATCTAGATTAATCTGCCTCTCAGAGGCAGATAAATATCACTTACTGCCAACTAGAATGATTCTCTGGTCTGTAACTTTTCAGTTTTAAGTTGTACACAACAGACAAACAACACCTGCTTTTATTTTTTTTCCCTGAAAAATATTGAAGCGTTTAATTCAGTAAGGATTAAATATTCCTTATTAATTTTAAATTGCAAAGGGGGCCATTACAGAAAATAGCCAGTTTCACTTATCTTTACCACACCAACAGTGCCATTCCATGATTCCTGAGTAACATTAAGCATAATGTCAGCTTTCAATTTTGATATCTCCAAAGTCATTACTACAATTTTTCCTGAGGTGAAAAATTCCTGCTATTTGTAGAGACACACGGGAATTTTTTGCTTCCTTTTCTACAAAAGTGCCAGAAGGACAGGGTTGATTTCAAGAAGAGTGAAAAAACTTCCCAGAAAAATCTCTGATGGGAAAGCAGATTAGGCAAAAAAACTATGAGCCTAAGCATAGCCTCATTTCCATATTCAAATGGCTCATCTAACAAGATGAACAAGCCCTCAGATACCAGGAAAGGTTGAGCTGACTTCCCTATACATTTGTACAGAAGCAAGCTCCTGCAGAAACAAGTTTCATAGGCTGGAGCCATTTACTAAGTCAGACTGATACCCAGGAGTTAATCCTCATGATGGATAGCTTCATCACTCAGAGCATTTCCAGACTTTCACTATCAAATCTGATATACCCTCCAACAGCCTCTCTGAGCAATGCAGGAAATACTGTGCACAGGAGTCCCTTCTGACTAAATTCATTGCTACCCAGTTTCTGATGATGTATATGCCTGCTTATATTTCATTCTTAAGTTTCCCAGTAAATCTATGAATTCAGTTTGTAGGTGATAGCCATAAATAAAATGTTGGATTATATACGAGGATGAAGAGAATATAAAAATCCAAGTATTTTGGTCAAAGTTTGGAAACAATGCTGTGGTTTTTCTAGGAAAATTTGTGTGCTTTAATCTGTAGTTGTCCTTTGTAGGTCAGTCTCTCCTCCTGGGGAAAGCACCTATTTTCATACAAAAGTTCTGTTTAGTCAAAAACCACTTCTGCAGTGAGCAGGCTCAAGTGTAATTTTCCATCAACCATAATACTAGCACAACAGTTGACCCTGAAATTTAAATTCCTCTTAGCATGTAAAGTTTATAGTCTGATGTTTTTCATTCTACTGTCTAAACCTCTTTTACATGAAAGGATGCATCTCAAGGGAGAACAAAGTAAGAATCATTTAGTCAAGGGTAAAACAGTCCTTATTCATTAAAGGTGTGCTTTGGCAGCTGTTACAGTCTATCAGGAAAGGAACCTTGCAAACTAAACAAGGTACAGTACCATAGCACAAAAATTAGAATTGTTTGGTTGAGTCCTACCTCTGCATCTCCAAAATTTAATCAGACTCTTAATGTTCTCCTCTGGATTCCTCTTCTGGTGGTTAAAAGTAGAGATGAATAAACATTTATAACAGACATTTTATTTTAAATTAAACGTACTGGTGAAAAGCACCAGGTAGTCTTTTGATGGAGCTCAGTACAGCAAAGCTCCATTTTTCCCCAGGTGCAGCAGAGTTTCACAGGAGCATCCATTTTGTCAAACGTGAGGTCTCCTCATGAAAACAATCACTTTGCAGAATGGGCTCCACTCCTCTAGGAATCCCAAAACCAGGCTTGTACCACTAACATCATTTTATCAGCACTTTAATCACACAGGCTTCTGAATCAAGCATTATTAAAGCAGTTCTTGTACTATGATACCATGACAGTATTCCTTCCATCAAGCTCGTAGGCAGTAGTATTGGTGTCATAAAAGATGATTTTATGCAGTATTTAAAAATAAATACCTAAATAAATAGTTAAAGTGGAAAAGTATTTATTACCCAAGCTACTGAAGCACCAAGTATGCTGTATATTTCACAGAAAAAAAATTATTTCAGACAAGTCAGAACTTGCCTCTTTTCTTAGGTTTCTTCCACAGTGAATGAAAAATTTACTTTTTTTTTTTTTCTGGTTAGAGTATACATCTTTATGGAGGGTCTCCAACAGGCTGAACAGTGTCTGTACACCTGACGGCTCCAGCCACACACTGAGGCACAGCAGAGGGCAGGGCTTGCTGTCACAACATGTTTTAGACCCTCAGGTTCAAATTAGGCAGGACCTCTGGGTTTAGCAATTAACTGCTCTGTGATCCAGGAATATAAATTCATGCATCAATCAATTAGAGTTTATGTAGTCAAGCTTTTATCCCTAGTTATACCTAAATTAAAATATATCGGAAGGAGGCACGCAAGGTGAAGTAGCTTGTATACAATTGGAAGACTTATTTTTACAAAACAATCACCACAAAAAGATCAGTTGCATAATTTGTCAAATGCCACCTTCAACAGAAAAAAAAATCATAATTTTAACATATTTTATTGAGTATTGAAAGTAATGACAATGGACAATATTTTGTTATAACGACAAGCCCATTTTTTGAATGCATGTTTCTTAACTGCCACAATGTCTCAATAGCAGTAATTGATGTGAAGCCATTCTGGGATAGCTTTCTATCCTGTGTCAAATGAGATACATAGATACTCATGGACTGTTTCTACACATTCTTCAAGCCATAGTAATTTTTATAGAACTACCTAGAATCCTGGCACTCAGAAGAATTTAATACAAGGACTCTAACAATAAGACTGTCTGGTTGCTCTTATTTCATACTAGATTGAGGAAAATAAAAACCAAACCACGATGATTCATGTTTTCTACTCTTGCACTAGATCCCCACTTTTCCTATTTTTCTTTTCTCTCAGGCAATAAATACTTTCAAATGTCTTCCTCCCCACACACCACAGCTAAGTTAAAGACTGAGCCCTTAGTATTAAAGATAATTCAATACTGTTTTTTTATACAAAATGTCAAAAAAAACCCAAAGAAATTGGTTTCAGGAAGTCACTTTTCTTTGCTCTCTGAGAATATTAACAGGAACATTTGAATGAGTGTCCTTTCTTACTCACAGCAATTTGGGTCTATTTATCTATGCAGCAATCTCTTGCAATGTTGAGTAGGGTAATAAAGAAGAATGAAATGGGGGTAGAAAGCAGACAACTAATAAAAAGGTAAGCGAATAAACAAAAGACAGAAAGAAAACTCCAATTTCATACTATATTTACAGATCTTAAACAAACTACATTATCTATATTTAGAGTTTGGCCTTCATATCCCTGCTGATCTACAGCTTACTAAAAAGCAAAATGTACACATTCTTCATTTCTTTTATGACTTTCATGGTAGGATACAAGTAAATCTAAAGCTTCACAGTGATGTATGAGTGTCTAAAACTTGGTAACCACAGTCATGGATCATTGTAATTTCCTGCAGACACACCTATACAGAGCCCTGTTACTTGATTTATGCAGAAGTTTTACACTTCTTAGATGAATACATAAACTGAATTTTTACAGACAACAAACAAGAGCTTAATGCCCACGGTGAGAAAATAATGAAACATCCAAAAGTCATCTATAGAAGCTCCACTACCTTCAGATTCAAGACAAAGCTCCTGCCAGCCAAACTTAGGGAAGGCATCTTCCCAGATGCTTGTGATGCTAGATGTGGCTCTAAGCATATAAGGACACCAAGCAGGGGTCTCTCAGAATTATTTAACATCATTAATACAGCCTTCCTAAGTTACCCAATCATCTGACCAAATTCTGAATGTTCAAATTAATTAAACTACTAAAAAAAATAGGTGCAAATTCCTCCAGACCCTCCTAGGGAATGAGCTGACTGGAGATTCAGCTAAAGCAGGTGATTCAATTCTGCTGACTGTTATCATAGAATTATAAATGGTTTGGTTGGAAGGGACCTTAAACGTCACCTCATTCCAACCCCCCCTGCCATGGACAGGGACACCTTTCACTAGACCAGGTTGCTCAAAGACCCATCCAACCTGTCCTTGAACATTTCCAGAAATGGGGCACCCATAAATTCTCTGGAAATCTGTTCCAGTGCCTCACTACCCTCTGGGTAAAAACACTGCTTCCTAATAGCTAACCTAAATCTTCCCTCCTTCAGTTTTAACCCGTTCCATCTTGTCCAGTCACTACACATCCTTTTACAAATGCCTCTCCGTCTTTCTTGTAGGCTCCTTTCAGGTACTGGAAGGCCACAATCAGGAAACCCCACAGCCTTCTCTTCTCCAGGATGAACAATCCCAATTCTGTCAGCCTTTTCTCATAGGGGAGGTGCTCTGTAGCTCTAATCATCTTGGTGGCCCTCCTCTGGAATCGCTCCAACAGATCAATGTCCTTTCTGTGCTGGGGATCCCAGAGCTGGATGCAGTATTCAAGAGAGAGTCTCACGAGAGCGGTGAAGAGGAGCAGAATCACCTCCTCAACCTGCTGGCCACGCTGCATTTGACATAGCCCAGAACATGGTTGGCTTTCAGGCTACAAGTGCACGCTGCTGGCTCAAGTCCAGCCTCTCTTTTGTTATGTAGCTGCAAATGTTAAAAACATGCTAAGCCAAGTACACATTTTATCTGGGCACCATTAAAAAAAAAAAAGAAAGAAATTAAATATATAAAGCCATTGTAGGAAATATTTTGCCTCTATTTTAAGGTTTTCAGAAATTGGTGCAGTGTCATGGCTCCAGTGCTACTCTTTTGAAACACCAAATTATTCTTATATGAAGGAGCCTACTTCTTTGAAACTGGAGATTTCTAACTTCAGCTTACATCTCATAGATTTTGATGGAGATAGGAGTGGAAAAGAAGGCAATATTTTCTTGGTTTGGTGACCCCTGGAGATTAAGATAATATTCTCAGCAGTTACACAATTTGCTTTCTTCTTGGTTAGGCCACAGGTATTATTGAGTGTTGGGTTTGGGAGGGAGGAAGGTGTTTGATTTTTTTTGTATATGTCATCAGAAAGGATATAAAGAACATTTCTCTTAGTTTGTTCTCAGACTTCTGAAGTACTTAATGGCTGCTGTCTAACAAACACACTAACTTAGAAATTACTGGGACATATCTGACACTTGTGTATAAAAGGATGATATTTTGCCAAGGCAACTCTGTCACCATAAATAGTCGTAACGGAAGAAAAACCCTTCACATAAACTTTACTAGTGGATTATTTGGCTGTTTAAAATTGCCATATTCAATCTTAGTATGTTACCTTACTTATGTATTCTAATATCAGCAATGAAAAGAAGTATTACCATGTAGGAAAACGTCTCGGTTTAAGGTGTGTAAGGAAGTACTTCATTTTGTGGCCTGTGTGCTGCAAAGCGATAGCATGTGAAAAGGAGGTAAGTTGTTTGGTGTTGCTGCATGGCTAAAATCACACCAGAGAACTGCAAGTGCATGTATCAAATGTGCCTGGGGCTAATGGTTATAATTCCCTTAGAGCCCCAGTACCTCTGTATCTTTCCAGCATTGCCTTTCCATGACAGGCCTCTCTTTCTGAAGAGGTGCTTACCTGGCATGTAACGCTATCGGTCTTAGCACTAAGAGCTGGTGTGTGGAGAAGGCAAAAAATGTTCAAACTCTAAGTTGAAGGGAAAGCAATTTAGAGAGCACTGAAAAAAATTGCACATTTTATGAACAATGAAATCCAGTGGAAAAGTCACTCAATTTATAAGTCACAAGTAATAGTTCTGTTAAATTATGTCAGCGTGACATAACGACAATTCAGGAAATATTTCAGAGCCTTTACATCACAAAAAATGAAGTCAGAAAACTATAAGTATATCCATTTTTATGGTAATGAACATAATTGTACAACCCTGCACATGAATAGCCTCTTCAGTTTCTGTGGACTGTGAACATCTGCTTAATAATCTTAAAATAATTCAAATAGCCTCTCTGAGACACGCCACCCTCTTGCTGTTGTGACTTGTTTTGCTGCCGGATTCAAACGCACACATAGATACACACAGGAAGCAAAAACTGTCAGGAAAAAGATAAATAAATCAGACTTTTCTGCTTAAATAAATGCATTGTGTTTTCTGAGCTAAATTTTTGCCTTTAGTTTGTCATAGGTGACAATATTCACTCTGTCTTTCATATTCTGTATAGGTGATAATTAGTAATCAAGGAGTCAACAGTAAATACAAAATGTATTATTTTCTGAAAGCATACAATCAATAAACAGACTTCAATATTCATACCAGAAGTGATTATGTTCATATAATTCCCTCTATTTTGATCTTAATTTTGCCTTTACATTCTGCTGTGAGAAACTTTCATGTGAATTTCATGCCCTAAACACTCTAAGGGCAGTTTCTCATGTATTTATATTTTGATTGGCTTCTTGGTGACATGAAATATTTGAATGAATGAAGGAAATTGATACGTAAACTGTTTTTTACTAACAGAAGCAAAAGGGAATCCACTCTCTTAGCTCTGAACACAAGTGTACTTACCCTAAAGCAATGCAAATGATTCTAGAAGGAAGTTTTGTAAATTTTGTATTGCTACTCATCCTGTACTTTCTTAAACAAGTTTTTTAAATAAACACAGTGATGTACACAATGTGGTACTATGAATCATACCAAGAATGGAATATTTTGTAGGAGTTTCATTATAATAATTTGTGGAAAGGTTATACATCTAAAAATTACTCGGTCAAAACACAGAATACAAGATTGTCTTCTTGCTATACAGGACACAAGTCTCTTGTAAAAGTAGCAGCATGTCCATCTTTTTGGCTGAAAAAAAAGGCAAAAAATTTCAAGTATTAACTGTAGAAATACACTTGTGATACATATAAAAAACTGTGTAACTTGTGTTCTACTAAACCAGAAAAATTTTTGTGGTTGCTGAAACCTCAAATGATCTCACTTTACAAGTTTACTTTCAGATATGTTTACTCTAAAAAGCAAGAATTGGAGCTTTCATATAATTGCATGAAACCTTGGCTACATAATGGTAATATGCTCTATATACTAGTGTAATAAGTCATTAATTTATTGAGAAGTTGTTCTTAATTGTAGTTAGACATCATCCATGTTTTGAAAAGTAGATAGTCTGACAAATAAATAATTTTTTTTCAGTAAAGCAGAATCAAAACTGGAATTTTGTACAGTGAATGAAGATCATCTGCAAATTAGGGATAAACTCACACTTGAAAAGATTTTTCTTTAAGATCAGGTAATTGAGAAAGATAAAGAATAATTAGAAATGATAAATAACTGAAATGGAATATTTCTGTTTACGTTTCAAGAATATTTTTCCTCTCATTTTGTGAAAAGATCTGTTCCAAGAAAATTTGAATTATATTTGCCTGACCCATGTCTGGGCTACTGCAGAGAGGAAAACAGAGATAACTCTCCACTGTGATAAAATAGGTCCCAAAGAAAAAGATAGTATAAGAATTGAGTTAACATTCAGAAGATGTCCCAAGGGCTTTCCTACTCCAGAGCTGAAAGCAATTACACCTCCATTTCATTAGCACCACTGAATATACATTTTTATGACCTGTCCTCTGCTCTCTGCACTGACTTCAGATAAAATTCACCAGGCACAAAGTGGTTCTTATCTGGAATAGCCTGTTACACAACACTGATCACCCCCTTCATATCTCAGGGATTTATGGAAGATGAAATAACCAGTGTGTAAGCGTGAGCTACTTGGAAACGGTAACGATAAATGAGGATCAAATGAAAAACATGAATACACACAGAAAATGTCAAATATTACTTCTCTAGTAGTAGCAGTAATAGATCTAAGGCACCTTCAATTATCTTATAAGTAAAAGTTCTAGTCCTGTAGTTCTCAGAAATTCCAGTATTGTGAACCTATGATGCTGGTATGGTCAGGTAATATAGTGCCTACTCTTAAAAAAAATTAAGTCCACCAAAAGCTATCAAAAGTTTCTGCAAATCCAGCAGAGAACACCCAGCAGTAGTGTATGTATCACTTTCTGATATCTTGAAATAGCACTGACATCTTGATAAGATTTGCTCAGCATTTAGAAGTGGCATTAAAATGCTGATAGGCAGTATTAGTAGTAAAAACAAAAACACATTAACAAAAAAGCCAAATTAAAGAAACACAAAAGACAAACACACTAATTATTCTAATTATTTAGAAAACTGTCCAAACACCACTAGAAACTTTGCAGAGCTGAGGAACCTACTCCACTCTGACAAGTCATTACAATGAATGGTCACTCTTTAATAAGAAGTTTCACTTATTTCAATTTTGAATATTTCTTCTTTCACAAGTCAGATACTGAACACTTCCTATCAAATTTGTTCTCACTGCTATAAATTCAGGGAATTAAACACCAGTAAACCACAGACATGTTTGCACAAACAGCAAAGCTCACACTTCCACAATTCAAGCATTCTGAGTCTTTTGACTCAGTTTCCCCATCTATTGATGCAAATATCCACTATTAAAGACCTGTGGTGCCATGTTTCCCTCCCCTTTTCACCAACTGTCCCTGGTCAGTGAAGCTCTAAAGCCCGGCACAACCTTACACAACCTTGCTTAACTCCGAGGGAGATGGGCTGTCACGAAGAGGTTCCTGGTACATCATCCCATGACTGGTTTTGTCACTGTTCCTATGCACTCTTCCTCTTCCCTTGCTCTGATTGAGCCTTTGTGGTCCTCAGCCTTTTGTACAGCCCTGGCAAGGGATTTTCATGCTCACAAACGGTCTAACAATCACTGCTTTACAAGCATTATGATCTCTGTATCAGTTCTTTTAACTCTCATTGCAATTTGCTGTGAAATTTATTCTGGCAGAAGCCACAGAGCCCTTTCTCCCTTCTCTCCACATCTCTGGGGCGCCTGAGTTCTTATACCCGGTGATCCGGGGCTGAGATTCGGTAATGCTCACACGGCATCCAGTTCAAACCATTTTCTGCTTATTCAATCAGTGAGGATAGCAACACCTCACTACGTCTATAGGCAGAGTTTAAAAAGCGGTATGAAGCAGGCTGGCCAAGGCTCTCGGCGGGCTCAGCGGCTGCCGGCCCTTCTGCCGCGCTATCAATAGATGGCAGCAAGAAGCTCCTTCTCTCCCGAGCGCCGCAGAAGGAAGATACATCCCGACAGGAAAGCAGGATAAGCTTTCCAATAGAGTTCAGATACCAGTTTTTAACAGCCATGCCTTGTGGC